TTAATAAACTTGGCAACAACAATTCACCTGGATTAGATGGAATTACATATTCCTTTTTTAAAGCTTATTGGAAGATCGTTGGGATGGATGTGTGGAAAGCCATCCAACTTTGCTTCAGTTCATGGAAAATGTCTTCTAGGTGGAAGGAGACATTAGTGGTTCTTATTCCCAAAGTAAGTAATCCTCTTTCTCCCAATAATTTAAGACCTATAAGCCTTTGTATGTCAATATACAAAATTATAGCAAAGGTACTATTAAATAGAATGAAGAAAGTGATCCATGGCTTAGTTACTGAAGAGAAAGTGGTTTCATTGAAGGGAGGGCCTTATCTGAGCATATGCTTTTTGCTCATGAACGTTTTCACAAGTTTAGAGTCTCTAAATCGTGAAGGGGTTTGGTGGCTATTAAACTGGATATGGAACAGGCATACGATAGTATGGCTTGGAATACCTTACAAAAAGTTTTGATTTACTTTGGCTTTCCAAGAAGATTTTCTAATCTCATTATGGAATTTGTTTCTGACCCAGTTTTCTTTGTTCAAATCAATAGTGTGGAACTGGAAGGTATTAAAGGGAGAAATGGCTTTAGACAGGGTTGCCCTCACTCTCCTTTCTTATTCATACTATTATTTGCAGATGACATCTTGATCTTGTCCAATACTAAGATAGAGAAGATTAAGAGAATTATGAAAATCACTAATGACTATTGCTGCTGGACGGGTCAACAGATAAATGGCACTAAATCTTCTATCATTTTTAGTAAGAACATGGAGAGAAGGAGGAGGAAGATTATCTTAAAACTCTTAGGGTTCAGGGGAACCAAGGATCTAAATTACTGGGGCAATAAAATCACCTTAAGGAGGCGTGTGGCTTCAGACTTTTCCAGCATTTTGTAGAAAGAAGCCTTTAAGTTGGACGTTTGGGGCAAGAAGTTTATATCAACAGCTGGTAGAGTAACTCTTATTAATGCTGTTCTTCAAGCAATCCATGTACTCTAAACTTCTATGTCTCTGGTTCCAATTTTTGTATTGAAGAAGATTGATAGAATGTGCAGGGAATTTCTGTTGAATAAAAGCAATGGGGTTAATGGTTTACATTATGTAGCATGGAAGGAGTTGTGTAAACCGAAAGACCAAGGGGGACTTGGCATTCAATCCGCTGTTCACTCGGTGGAACCCCTTAGAGCAAAATTGGCTTGGAATTTCTTGAAGAAGCCTGATTCTTTATTCAGTAAATCTATCTCAGCAAGATATGGTAAGAATATTTGGGATGCGAGTAAAAGAAATAACTCTTCTTTGGCTTGGAAGGTGATTATTAGCGGTGCCAATGCTTTAAAACAGGTTGTAAGATGGAGAATCAAGGATGGTGTTTCAATTGATGACATAGCTGAAGGAATTTTGGGAACTTCTAGAGAGAGAAGCTCTTGGAATTTCTAGAGAGAGAAAACCTTTCCGGTTTAAACTTTTCCTTTTCGCGGGCTTTCTGGTTGGCGGATTCCGACAATTTTTATGGTGGTTCAAGTCCACCGACAGTTGATTGCCGGTGGTAATTCATCTGAGACCCCGTGGTCTGGTCAGATAAAGTCTTCTTATCAAGTTCTTGGTAAGAATCAGAATGAGGAGTTTGCTTCGTTGAGAAAATCTTCTAGTTTGGTGATCAATGAAGGATTCCAACCTCCGCCAAAGGTTGATCTTATATCGAAAGTTAAGGATAAAGGTATTCTTGAAGAAAAAGTGAACAAGGTTAAGAAGATTGAAGAAATTCAGGTTTTGACGATGAACCAGTGAATTGAATCTGCGTCCAGTTCTAAAGATCTGTAGAAACTTACGGAGATTATAAGAAGACAAGATTCTTCTAGTAGAAAAGAGATGATTAAAAACATTGAGTTTTCTGCTGAGAAAGAAGATGGAATCTCTATTCCTATAAATGATCAGAGTGCTAAATCTGATCTAGCACATAGCTTTGTGTCGGCTTGGCAAAAGGTACAACACATTAAATTGAGTTTTAATTCAAATTCTACCAAGTTGTCGGAAGATGGAATGGCTGTGAAACTAAAACCTGTTAAAGAACTGGCAAATGCTTAAATTTTTAAGAATTTGACAAAATATTCCTTTTTCTGTCTGTAGCCAGGAACTTAGGAGACAGTGAAATAAGGTGGGCAGTTTTCACATGATTTCACTGGGAAATAACTGAATTCTTTGTTCGTTTACAAACATTGAATCCATGGAGGAAATCTTAAATGGTGGACCATGGTATATTGGAAACCATGTCATTAGAATGGATAGATGGAAGACATCATTTTCTACTGATTCTTTGAAGGGTATTTCTTCCCAGTGTGGATTAGATTCCCTGGTTTTCCTTTAAGCTGCTGGGATGAGGAAAACATCACTCTAATTGCATCTATGATTGGAGTCCCTTTGCTTTTGGATGGGAATCCATTTAAATGGGGGAAGAGGGAATATGCGAGATGATGTGCTCGGATAGATTTGGAAAAGAAACTTCCTTTGGGAGTTTGGATAGAAGGAATCCATGGAAGATCATTTCAAAAGGTAGAATATAAAAAGTTTATATCGATGTGTTATCAGTGCGGTAGAGTGGGACACAACAAGAGTATTTTCCTGAAATTAGCAAATATTCCAATAAAAAAGTCAGTTGTGGATGAATATGATGAAAATAAGAAGCTGAAAAGTGATCTGGCAAGGGAAGATGTTAAGAAGAAGCAAAGCGGAGAGGAGTATGGACCATGGATTCACGTCAAATTTAAAACAACAGATTCAGGAATAGTGTGAGGAATGGAGGACTGTTGGGTCCAAGCAAATATGTTTCTAAACCAGTGGAAAAAATGGAAAAAAATTTTCCAGACGCACAAGAAAGAAATGGTTCTTCCGCAGATAATGTACAAGGTAAAACTGCTAGTCAAGAGGAGGTGAATGTTGCTACAATTATTCATCCTCTAGCTGTTTCAGCAAATTTCAATAGTGTGAATAAATTTCAATTATTAGATGTTGTTGAAGAAGGGGAAGTTTTAGAAATGAAATTTCGAACTGTTTTAACAATGTCAAGCCCGAAGAAAGCACAGAGGTTCAGAATAATGCAGATCATGGAAATACTGGCAATGGTGAAATTCAGAACAATGTAGATCTGTTGGTTTCATTAACATGCTCAGGGAAAGTTAAGCTTTCCAAAGAACTAAGATCTGGTGGAAGCTGATCAAAGAAAAAGGAAAGGAGAAAAAAAGAGTAATAAAATGATAGGGGATCATTCCCCTGTTATTTTATAATGACGTCCATTAGCTTCTGGAATTGTAGGGGGGCTGGAAAGAGGGAGGCCTCCCTATATCTTAGGGAGTTTGTTAAAGACAATGATTGTTTCTTTGTTGGTCTTACTGAAACAAAGATTTCCTGCTTAGAAAGACAAGACATTGATTCCATTATTGGAGTAGATTGGGATTACTGCTTTCAACCATCAGTTGGGTTATCAGGTGGGATTTTGGTGCTTTGGAAAAGATGTTTGGCCTCTTTTGAAGCCATTGAAGTTTCATCCCAATTGATAATGGGAGATTTGACTATAAATACTTTAGGTAGCTGGAAGGTGTCTACTGTTTACAGTGGTAAAGATGTTCAAACCTGCAGAAATCTTTGTTATTCTCTAGAAGTTGGTATGCAGGGTGATACTCCGGCTTTAATTGGGGATGATTTCAATTGCATCCTTTCAAAGGAGGATAAGAAGGGTGGTAAGAGGTTCCATTTCTCTTGTGAACCTAAAGAGATGAAGATGTTCCTTACGAACAATGATCTCCATGATCTTTATTATGTAGGACCAAGATTCACTTGGTGCAATAACAAAGAAGGCAATTCAAGGATCTGGGAGAGATTATATAGATGCTTTGTAAACTCTTTTGCTTTACAAAGAATTCCTATGGCCAAGGTGAGTCATCTTTCAAGAATTGCTTCAGATCATGCTCCAATCGTGTTAAATTTGGTGGAACCACAGATCCAGAAATCTAAATTCATTAGATTTGAAGATAGTTGGAAATCATATCCTGCGGTTTGGCACATTGCGATTAAGGCATGGAGAAAATCTGACTATGGTTCCAGTGCTGAAATTCTTCATAGGAAACTAAAGAGAACCTTGAATGCTCTTTACTTTTGGAACAAGAACAAGTGTAAGGAATTGAACTTGTTGAAAGAAAACTTGAAAGAAGATATTCTAAAGCTGCAGTTAGAAGAACTAGTAGTGAAAATTTCACTGCTGATAGACTTTGGGTAGATTAGCCACTTGGTGGAACCAAAGAGAAAAAATCAGATGGCATCACGGTGGTGACAGGAACTCCAGGTATTTTCATCAATGTGCTTCGGCTAAGAGAAATGGCTACCTTATATGGAAAATCAAAAATGAGAATGGAAGTTTGTAGAAGATTTCAGACAAATTTAGGATGTCTTCCATGAATTTTTTAGTAAAAAATGGGCTTCAAGGAAATGTCAGCTGTCGGGTTGGCCTTCAATTCCCATGAACCTACAGATTTTGGATGATGAAGCTGAACTCTTAAAGACTGAATTCACCAAAGAGGAGTTGATAAAAGCAGTTTTCAATCAAGGTAATAACAAGTCTCCGGGATTAGATGGCATTACAACATCCTTTTTCAAATTTTTTTGGAAAATTGTGGAAGAGGATACTTGGAAGGCAATTGACAGTTTTTTTAAGACTGGTTCTATGCATAAGGATTGGAAGGATACGTTAGTAGTCTCAATTCCAAAGAAAAAAAATCCTACCATGCCGTCCAACTATAGGCCTATAAGCCTATGTCAAACTACTTACAAGATTATGGCTACTATGATTTTGAATAGAGTAAAGAAATGTATTTCCAAATGTGTCACTGAAGAGCAAGCTTCTTTTATTAATGGTAGCTCTATGTCTGATCATTGCCTCATTGCTAACGAGATTTTTCATAAGCTTAGAGTCACAAAAAACAAAAAAGGTTTTATGATAGTTAAGCTTGATATGGAGCAAGCTTATGACAATATGAGTTGGGATGCTTTAGAACAAGTGTTGCAGATGTTTGGCATACCGGTGAAGATGATTGGGCTGATTATGAAATGTGTTAAAGGTGCAAGATTTTCTTTCAACATCAATGGTAAAGCTTCCAAGTGGATCACTACTGCAAATGGATTTCCTCAAGGTTACCCTCTCTCCCGTTATCTGTATATTTTGTGCTCTCAATTATTTTCTTTAGCCATGGCTCAAGATGGTCAGAATTTGGGAATTCAAATCTCAAAGAGATCTCAAAAAATCAGTCACCTCTTATATGCCGACGATGTGCTGATATTTTCTCATGCTTCAAAAAATTGGCCAATAAATTAAGAAGCATTATTTTAAAATTATGTAGTTGGACTGGTTTGAAAGTAAATAATGCAAAATCTCAAATTCTTTTCAGTAAGTCCATGAAAAGAACATAAAAGATTCGAGTAAAAAGAATTCTGAATTTCAAAACAGTTAAAGAGCTGCAATACCTTGGTGTTCAGCTACTGCTTAGAAGGCCGGTTAGAGCAGATTTTCAGTTTCACATTGATAGTGTTCTGCAGAAATTAAACTCTTGGGGAGGTAAATGTCTTTCTTTGGCAGGAAAACTTATCCTTGCAAAGACATTGCTTCTATCTCTTCCAAATTTTGTTTCAACTCACAATATGGTACCTAAGAAAGTTCTTCAAGAGATAGATAAATGTTGCAAATAAATTTCATTTGGAACAAGAGTAATGGTAAGAAGGGGATGCATTATGTATCTTGGAATACTCTATGCAAATCAACAGAAAAAGGTGGGAGGAATTTGCATTTGGCTGTTGATAGAGCTGGGCCTCTTAAAGCTAGATTAACGTGGAGGATGATTCAAAAGCTTGAGTCTTTATTTTCACGAGTGATTACAGCCAAGTATGGAGATGATGTCTGGAATATTAAATACAAGAGTAACACCTCTGTTGCTTGGAAAGTGTTAAATGAAGGAGCTAGATATTTGAAACCTCTCTTGAGGTGGAGAGTAGCTAATGGTAGAAGCATTGATGTTGTTAATGATGTTTGGTTATTAGATATGAGTTTCAGTAAATGGCCTATCATGGCTGATTGCTTGGGGTTGGAGGGTTTAAAGCTAAACCATTTTATCAATTCGAATGGATCTTGGAAAAAAGAGGAATTTCTCTGTTATTTTAACGAGGATCTGATTCCTGTCATTATACAAATCAAGATTGAGTATGAAATGCTGGAGGACTTTATGGAGGAAATTCATTCCTTATATGGCAAAACCATTATAGCAAGGGCATATGAAACTCACTACAGAAGTAAGCAAGATTTTGAAGCAGTTTCTGGATTTAATAGCTGGTTAAAAAAATTAAAAATGATGGCTCGTGTGGAAGTATTTTGGTGGAGATTAAGTAGAGGTGTTATCCCAACTAATGAGTTCTTGAAATTCAGAAAAATCTATAATGATGATCAGTGCGTTAGAGGATGTGGAGAAGTTGAAAATATGTCACATATAACTAGTATGTGTAATCATTTGCGGGAAGTACTGAAGAAGATCCATGAATGGGGTATTTTTGTTCCAGTTTTTAATTCAATGGAGGATTGTCTTAGTGAATTGAAATGCCCATCTATGACTGCACCAAATGTTGTTATTCTTTATTTTAATGATGTGTACTGGAATTGGAAAAATAGAAATGAGGTGGCTCATGGCAAGGAAGCTAATACGATTTCAGCAACTGCAGCAAATGTGTTATCTACGGCTTACCTATCCTCTAATCCTCTCATTGCTAGCTAGGGTGCTAATCTCCCTCAGGAGTTTCAAACTATTTGGCACCCTCCACCGCAAGGATGGATTAAGATCAATGTTGATGCGGCTCTTCTATCTACTTATAATGCTGGCATTGGAGGTTGCTTTAGAGAGAATAAAGGCAGATTATTGTTAGCCTTTGGGGAAAACAGAATTCATTGGGACATAGCAAATCTTGAGCGAGCAACTGTGATTTCAATCAGGAAATACCTACAACCGTGGATGGTTGAATGCAAAGGACTCATAATAGAAGGCAAAAACATCAATGTTATCAAATTCATTCATGATTCTTTGAATAAGGCAAAGTGGCAAAGCTACAACCGGAAAGAAGAGAATCTTCTATTCTTGGCCGATTTCAATAAGGTAATTTTCAACCATATACATAGAAATGGTAATAAAGTAGCCGATATGTGTACTACTATTGCTTTAGATTACAATTTTTGTTTTGATAGTTTTTCTTTTACAAACATCCTATCTTCTCTAGGCTATCTTTTGAAGAAGGAATGTGAACATTTTCTTTAGTTTATACCATGTTTTCTTTCCCTTAATGCATCTGCTATTGCAATCTTCAAAATAAAAAATAAAAAGGATGGTGTTTCAATTAACATTATGAAGGACATTTGGATCCTTGATAGAAGATTGGAAAGATGGCCCATGTTCATTTCTAATGATATTGACAAGTTAAATAGTCTGTCCTTCTTCATTTCGAATGGATTTTGGGAACCGGAGAAACTACAGGATTACTTAGGGAAGGAGATGGTGGAAGTCATCTGCAGTATCAAAATTGATTTCAGCATTCTTGAAGACAATTTAGAGTTGTTGAAGACTTATTCTGGGAGAATGATTGCAGGTTTGATTAAACATTCCAGAACTTATAAAGAAGAATCTAAAACTATGGCGATCCAGGATTGAAATTATATCTGGAGGATGAAATTTAATCCTCGGATCTCTTTCTTTTGGTGGAAATTATTGAAGAAGGCCATCCCAACAATGGATTTTTTATTACCTAGAAGATTAACTAGTAACAACTTTGCCCAAGAGGTTGTAACATGATTGAAAATATAGATCATGTGGAAGTGGATTGTATGAAGTTAAAGAAGGTTAAACAAAAGGAAAAGAATTGGGGTTTTCATCTACCTGTTTTAAAAAATTTTGAAGTCTGCATACATTTCTTGAAGGATCAAGGAAAGGAGAATCCTTTTATAGTAAGTTTGTATTGTGCATTGGTCTTTAATTCCTGGAAGAGTAGGAATACATTAATCTCTGAAGGCAAAGAGATTGAAACTGGTATCATTATCACTAATGCCATGAACTATGCATCTTGTTCCACTTCTATAATTCATTCGGACAACTAGCTACTAACAAGCAATTTAAGTTATTTTCTTCTTTTTGGCATCCTCCACCACCCGGATGGATTAAAGTAAACATAGATGCTTCACTTCTTGCCTCTAATGAAGCTGGTATTGGAGGTATTTTTAGAGACCATAAAGGTAGGATGCTTCTAGCTTTTGGATTCTCGTTAATGCATTGGGACGTTGGATTTCTGGAGATGCTTGCTGTATGTTCATTGAAGAAGGTGATACAAGACTGGATGTTCAATGCTAAATGCTTAATTTTGGAAGGAGACAACACTAATGTTATTTCTTACCTACAAAATTCGGTGGACATTCATGGCCGAGAGATGGAAAGGTAAGATAAAGAAGACTTGGAATTTCATAAGGAGTTTGAGGTAATCCTTTTCCATTATGCTAATAGAGGTTGTAATAAGTTAGCTCACTGGTGTTCTAACCATGCTTTGAAAGGTGATTTCTTTTGGGACATTCTAGAAGTCAATAAGGTTCCTCCTACCTTTTATTCTTTGTTAAAGGAGGAAAGTGATAGATCTTCTATCACTTAATTGCTTGTACCTTTCTTTTTTTCCTTTTTAATGCATTCGGCAGTTTTATAAAAAAAAATTTATTAATTTTAAATTTTATAGAACATAATGTTTAAAATCTTCTAAGTGTCAAAATCTATGAATACCATTGAATCTTGATCAAAGAACTATTGATAATACTTATGTTGCTCCTATTATGGTTTGTGAAAGAAATATGGATAATGTCTTGACTAATATTCTTCCCATCAGTCAGCTCTAATGAGTCTCTAGGTTTGGAGATGATTTTTGGGAAATTTTCCTAGGGCATCATTGCGAGCGCTGGTTTGATCTTCTCGTGGCTCTTCTCTTTAAATTTTTTGATTACTTGCGTTGCCTTTATATATTTTATTTTGTAGATTCCTTTTTTTTGAAGTTTTCTTGTTTTTGTGCTGGGCGATGATGTCCCCTTCATCATCGATCTGGTCTTCTTTCGTGCTTTTTGAGGGGAAATCGTGTTCCTTCAAAGATGTGTTAGCGCGCTCTTCGTCTTCGTCTCTAACACTAAAATTTATGCAGTCCTACTTTAAGCGATCTCTAGCTCTCTTGTTTGAAGATTCAATTGTTGATTGATTTGCTGCTCCTTACGCTTTGACACTTGTTGGTAAATTTGTGTTGAGAAAACCTAGCCTTGATGTTATTCAAAATTTTTTTCTGAATCTCAAACTTTCTGGATCTTTTCACATTAGATTTCTTGATCAAAGCATGTTTCAATACAACTAGCTAAGGATCTAGATTATAGTTATATTTTCTCTAAGATATCTTTTTATACTCTTATGTGTGAAATGCAGTTTCTTAAATGGACTCCAAATTTTGATGTTAGGGAGGAATCCCCTATTCTTCCCATCTGGATTTCTTTTCTAAACTTGAGACTTCATTTCCTTAATCGTCAACTCCTTTTTGGTATGGCATCTATTTTTGGGAGACCAATACAAACTGACCAAGCTATGGCTACTATGTCTAGGCTGTCGGTTGCTTAGGTGTTACTAGAACATGATGTCTCTTAAAAACACCCTAGTAAGATATGGATTGGGTCCGAAGTCAAGGGGTATTTCCAGAAAATTGAGTTTGAAAATTTATGTATTTTTTGCTCATTTTACAAGATGCAAAACCATGGCATAAATGAATGTTTTTGGAAGCACCCTAATCTCTGTAAAGAAAAGGAATCATTGAAATAGAATGAGGGAATGGATACTCAGGTTGTAGCTAATCCTATTCAAGCTAATTTAGAGGTTAATACCTCTATTCCTATCTAAAGTAGAGATAACCCGATGGTGGTTAATGAGGAGGACCCTCTTATTTCTAATACTAATGTTGTTTCATTGAATCTTGTTAAAGCACTTTTGATAATTCTTATGTTGTTCCTATTATGGTTTTTGAAAGAAATATAGATAATGTCTTGATGAATACTGGAGATACTAATCTTACTAATGTTGAAACTATTACTTCTTGTACTTTTAATAAAAATGCTAATGATTCTAGTGGTAATATGCTTATTTTTACTTCTATTAATCATTCAAATGACCAAGAAGTTTTGGCTATTCATGTGGCTTGCAAAGATATTTCTTTAGAGGAAGGATAATTTGTTACTTTGGAAAAGAGTTCTTCTCTTCTGAAATGAATGGAAGCTCTTGTTTTGAGGAACCGCGATTCTATAGAGGATGATAGTATATTTATGGAGGATGAATGTCCTTAATTGACTTCTCTAAGGGAACACCCAAGTGGTAGTAAGAGTATCTCTACTTCCTATTATAATAATGATGATTTAACTTCTAGTAAGGATATGCATATTGCTGCTAAATGTTTTGCTAGAGATGATAATGACTTTAGTTTTAGTAAGGTTCATAGTAAAAGAGGAAGGAAACCTAACCATATTTCTCTTCAACGTCCTAGAAATACTAGATCGCATACTTCTCATTGGTTGGCTCTTTATTTTTAATGTTATCATTTGGAATGTGAAGGGCACTGGGTGTCCTTCTTCTAGAATTTGTGATAAGAACTTATGTCGTGTGAATAATCTTTCTATTCTTTTGTTGCTTAAGCCTCTTATTTCTTCTTCTAGGTTGATTAGTACTTCTCATTTTTTGGGCTTTAATCATGCTATTTCCAATGTGGCTAAGAAGATTTGGGTCTTTTGGAAAGATTCAGTTAAAATTGATGTTATTGGTGACTTTACTCATGTTTTTCATTGTAAAGTTTAGGCCCTTAAATTTAATTGTTGTGCTTCTTTTGTGTATGCTACTTCGTCTATTTATAATAAAAAATTCCTTTAGGAGCATCTTATTGGTTTTCATAATATTTGAATTTTCCTTGGCTTATTTGTGGTGATTTTAATTCTTTTACAAACCCTTCTGAAAGGATTATAGGTTCCGCTCCTTCTTATCATTCTATGGAAGAATTTAATAATATGATTTTAACATGCAAGCTTATAGATATTGGGTTGTTGCTAATAATTTCACTTGGAATAGGGGTTATTTATGACAAAGGCTGGATCATGCTCTCTTTAATGATTTTTGGCTCCATTCTCTTTTTTCTACCAATGTGCAGCATCTGAGTAGAACTTATTTTGATCATTTTCCTTTACTTATTAGCAGTAAGTTTAGACATTAATTTTTTGTCTCATTTTTTATTCAAAAATATGTGATTAAGTCATGACACTTTTTTGGATGTTGTTCAGCATATTTGGTAAGCTCTTTACATCATGATAATTCTATTTCATTCATGAGGAGACTTTTTTTTAAGTTAGAAAGGCTAAAATAGGTTTTAAATTGGTGGAACCATCATGTTTTCAAAAAAAATTTCTCTAATATTCTACAAGCATAGCAACTTACTAATTCTCTTGAACTAGCTTGTAAAGATGATCCTTCTGATTCTAACTTTTCTCTTTTATAGAAATCCAAAGAGGATCATTTTAATTTTGAAGCTAAGGAAGATGATTTTCGGAGGCAAAAAGCTGTGTTTAAGCATTTGCTTGAAGGTCATAACAACACTAAGTATTTCCATGCTTTGGTTAAGAGAAAAAGGATAAAAAATATTATCAATAAAATTCAAATGGAAGATGGTTCTTTTACTGAAA